CCATTTTTAATATTTTTTCGTTGAAGTCATAAAATTATATTGCTAAAGCAGTGGCTTTTTTTTTTTTTGTTAAGGTAAACTATATAAAATTAAGAAAATAAAAAAAAAGTAGAAAAAATAAATTAAAGATTAAAATAAAATATTTTTTTTCATCAATATTTCTTTATTGATTCAAATTTCAAATTTTAATTTTGTGTAACGCCTCACAATAACAAGAATCATCTGATGTTTTACCGTATACGAGTATCAAAACAATTTTTAAACCTGTCCCAACATTTCGTTAACTACGTAATTCGGTAATGTTAAAAATTCATAAAAACAAAACCATTTAAAATTGTATCACTTTATCGAGTCATTAAGCACGTCTAAATATCCCTAAAGCGGTACTGATTTTGTATAAATGCACGATTTTTGTTACATATGAGCGTAACCTCATATTTTGGTTTTCTTATATGATAATTCAAGGAAACTCATTGCTATAATTGCTGCTTGGTCTCTATACGTATTATGGAGAATCCAAGTTAATTCATAAGAAACAATTTTATACTAATTTGTATTCACTTTTATAAAGCACGAAAAGTCCTAATTAATTAAATTAATTATAAGTTTCTTTATTATCTTTTTTCTTCGAAGAATTACACTCTAATTGGCAAACGGAAAAGTATCTAATAATAGTGCTTAATAAATGGAATGTGAATAATATTGTTTGTAAAAAAAAAATGAAATGAAATTTTATTAAATTTTTATGAAGTGTGTTCGCTGAAGCCTCTCAGTAATTCGTTTCATCAATTAATTTTTAATTGAACAAAAGAAAATTTAAATTTTATTTGTGTTAAAAAAATAATATAATGAAGAATTTTAAATATCTTATATCTTTCTATTCATTACGAATAGTAGCGCAAATATGATTTTTCATTAATTGTACTCATGACTACAGCAGAACAGGAATTTTAATTAACTTATCATAGTTATTGTCGACAGCTTGATACGAATAAGAATACTGGTAGACAGACTCCTTCATTTATTCCTGCTCTAATGCAAATCGATATGTGCGCCAGTGTCGTCGTTCTACTCAAACTAACAAAAAACAAAAACAAAAAAAAATAAAAAACTTAATTAGCGTTAAACTCAACAAACCGCACTGAAATTCGTTATATGGAACATTGAATAAATTTCATTTCTGTAATTGAAGTATCTAACTGGAGAAACCAAAAAGCTGGAGAGAGAGAAAGAAAAAAACAAGAATTAGAATGAATTTTGTGGAATATATTAGTTGTTATCGCAACGGTACAAGTCCTTATATTGACGTGAAACTCCTAATGATTAATAAGTACTTGTGTGGTTGTTGTTAAGTATGCATATGCGCATATCCTTATTAGAAGTAGGAAATAATAATAAAAATTAGTTCGAAGTACGTAATTGTGTGGCAGTTTGGTAAATTGAGTTCTAATATATGTTATGCTGGATCTGAATATGAAAAGTAGAAGCTCTAGCTGTAATAAATACCTTTTTTTCGCATATCACTGAACAAATCAATTAGCAAGTTTTGAAGTAATAATTGCTTATTGTTATAGAAATTAATTAAAATTCATAGAATTTTATTTTTTTTTATTTTTTTAATAAAGCACAAATCCAAATAATAGTCATATAAGCAATATGAGTAATTATAAAATTAATACGTAACTCTAATTATGCTTATATAATTATATGTGAATTTAAATAATTTTATGGTAAAATTTTATGCTATATGAAAACCATACATAAATTTTAAATATTAAATTAATGCGCTAATTGTGGAAAATATTTTAAAATTGCTAACATAAATATTTGTTTTTATAATTATCATATCATTTGTTTTACTATTTAATGTCATTATGTTAGTCTAATAATAATTTTAATTTTCATATTTCATATTTTTATTTTTCATATTTCTACACATTTACATTTTTCATATTTTCTACCAATTTTTCAGATTTTCCACTAATTTTTCATATTTTCGCTTGGACAATCATAATTTTAGAAACCTCAAAATGTGCAATTTCGTTGCCTGCAATTCCTGTGAAAAGTGTTTATATTGTAAATATTTTATATCCTGTCCAACTATTTTTGCACTTCAAATGGTTTGAGCGCAACAAAGTCCATTGGTTGGTTAAACTTCTGTCTGAGGTTATTAAATTCATAATTTAAAAATTTTCAAATACGAGTATAAATTTTTCACTACGTAAAATTTTTATTTATATTTTATGCTTCATAAAATTTGTTCGACAATTTGTAAAATTTTCTCTCAAAGGAAGTGCAAAGTTTTAGCGTTTAGCGTTTAGAAAATTTTTACACTTCCTAAATCAAAAAGTTATCCAATTAAATTTTATGCTATTCAGATACTGTAATTTTGTTTAAGAGAACATTTTTTAATATATTTTATGTACTATGTAATTTTTCTCCTTCTTTTTTCTTAGATATTAGTATGTAGCGAATAAGTTTTCTTTTTCACTGTTGCAGTATAGTATAGTATAGTATATAAATGATGAAAGAAAATTGCAATGAAGAGTTTTATCCTCTTCTTTATACTTAATTTAGTAAAGAGTTTCAGTTGCACAATTTTTCTGGCAATCGATTTTCTTTCAATTCAATATGTTCTGAGTTATGATATCTATAAATTGAGCGTGTCTTTCAAGTCAGTTTATTAATTTTACTTAAAATAAATTGAAACTTTTGCTAGATATTTTTAATTCTGGATATTGATTCCTTCAAAATGTAGCATTGCAATTTGTGGCATTGCTTTATTATAATGAAATTTAACAGAATATCTTACAGTGGTTTAAATTTATTTCCAATTCAGTTAAGAAGATAGATATTTTTCGATTTTAAATTACAGAATAAGTTAAAAAGATCTTGTTATATTTAGCAATAAACAATGTAGTACAGCTTTTTCGAATATATTTATACATAAGCATTTTTTCAGTTAAATTATAGTGCAGTTAGCTGGTGCTTTAACTATTTTCGTTAATTAATGAATGAAAAAAATTGGTGCGGTAGCAAGTGATTTCTGTGGACTCTATCATGAAGAGAATGAAACATCAGAACATGTTCTATGAATCTGCATAACGGCGGCAAGATGTAGACTTGACTAGTGATTCTGTCTTCTCACTTATCATCTTTTGTGCTTAATTATTCCTGTTTGAGGTTAGTACACCCTTTATTAAATTTTCTACTTCAGATGTGTTTATGTCCTTCGTGGACTTTTTGTGGCCATTCAGCGTGAACGCCACTTTTTTTTTGTCAGTGTTGGTGTTTGCTTTGTCAGTTTTGCTTAGTTGGTATTTAAACTCCTTGATGCAATCAAACTTCGTTTGATTTACAGTCACTTATAACGATTTCTCATGGTTATCTATGCAAATCAGGGAGGGCCTATGCTAAACGAGAGTTGACATAATTCCTTATAGCAGATTGTGTTCAGAGCCAGAGTCTGGCACAGATCAGGAGTACTTTCAACTTAACCTGTAGCATCAACTTAACGATGACGAGACATCGAACAAATTGGAGACTTGCCACGTTTTAATAGAACGGAGGAAGATAAAGCATGAGCCAGAAAATATCTATAAAATATTCTATAAAATAATATTCTCATATACTCAGGTAACAGAATAGCACATACGCTAGCACGAAAAAATCATCTAATACTTAATTTAACTGATGGGTTCGATTCTTATGGGTGTATAAACTTTGTATTTATAATCATTTTGCAGTGCCTGCCTTTATGTAGACTAAGTTTGGTACGCATCTTTCTTTTTCGTGCCTGTCATAGTGTTTCGTTGAACACAAAAGGACTCCATCGTTGGTGCAACTGCCTTCTTCTGCCTTTTAAGCCACTTTCTCTCTTTCGCCTGACTGGATTTAAGTCGCCTCTTACAAAAGTTACGCCTTATCGCGCGAAATTTCTAACCACTATTCCCTAGGAGTAATTATTAATAATTATATATTATTAAAATCGGTTTCTTGCTAGAACAACTCATTAGATAATAGACTATCTTTGATATATTGTTTATTATGTTGAAGCTGTTTTGAGCTAGTGCACTTAAGCACGTATACTCTTTTTTAACTCGAGGTTTCTTCAAAACCCCTCTCTACACCTTGACCAGATTATTGTTTATCACTTCATCAGACTAAGTAATAATTGACCTCAGATCTGCATACCTCCCCGAGGAGCCTTTAACCATTTTGAGATTTGATATTATTTAAATTACTAAACTCAATAAAATATAGATGATTCAGAATTTTTTGCTTAAGATTTGGGTATCTTACTGGAAATACATTAATTATATAAAAGCAAGTCTTCTTTACTCAAATGTCTTTATAAATTAAATTTCTTCTCTCTCTCTCTCTCTCTCTCTCTCCCACTTTCTCTCTCTCTCTCTCCCACTTTCTCTATCTCTCTCTCTCACTCTCTCTCTCTCTCTCCCTCTCTGCTTAATATATTTTGATAGAGTAGCACTTCAGTTTAATTATAATAAATAAATAAAGTTATTAAAATAGATAAATAGTTTTACATTATATTAACGAGAATGATGGATAACATTTTGCTTTTTAACCGAAAGTATAAAAATTTTTATACAAAATCATTTTTATATAATTTTTATTTATGTCGTAAAAAATTTGAAAAAACATTTAATTTTATTAAAGTGGAGTAACGCAAACATTTTCAAGTGGTAAAAAAACTGTCAATTTTTTCAATTTATTCAGGCTCAGGCGCTTACACATACAAAAATGTTACCGGAAGGCCTGTAAATATTGAAATATGTGCTTAATGACAGTTGTAACAAGTTTCAGATTCCAAACCGCAAGGCTTTAAATTTGCACAATTTTCAAAAATACTTTTATTTAAATAAATTAAACAAAAAAAAGAATTCTTAAATAAATATCTATATTTTTAACACTAAATTCAATATTTAATTAAATTTATTTTAAATCAAATTAAAATAATTTTCTTTTTTATATTTTAGGTACAAAGTTGAGGTAGCTGGTAAAAGTCTTCCAGTATTGACAAATTTGGATAAAGGTCGTTATGGCGTTATAGTATTTGAGAATTTGGATAAATATCTGCATATGGATAAATGGAATCGGGAATTATTAGATAAATATTGTCGTGAGTACTCGGTTGGCATTGTAGGGTTTGTAACACCTAGTGAAGAAACATTAGTCGCTGCACAATTACGTGGATTTCCATTATTTGTACATACCAATTTAAGACTGCGTGATGCTAGTTTAAATCCAAATTCACCGGTGTTACGTTTAACACGCGCTGGAGAAACTGCTTGGGGTGTCTTACCAGGTGATGACTGGGCGATATTTCAACATAATCATACAACATATGAACCAATTGAGTGGGCACAACGTAATATACAAGATTATCCTGCTGACAGTGGTGGTCAAGTGCAAATGCCGCTTACTACAGTACTGCAGGACCATGGACAATTCGATGGCATACAAAGAGTGTTATTCGGTAGCAGTTTACGATTTTGGTTACATCGCTTACTGTTTTTAGATGCTTTATCATATCTAAGTCATGGTCAACTTAGTCTCAATTTAGAACGCATGATACTGGTCGATATAGATGATATATTTGTTGGTGAAAAAGGTACAAGACTGCGTGTAGATGATGTGCGCGCTTTGGTAGCTACACAAAAAATAATTGCCACTATGGTGCCAGGTTTTCGTTTTAATTTGGGCTTTTCTGGCAAATATTATCATCATGGCTCGAAAGAAGAAAATTTAGGTGATGATTTTCTACTACAAAACGTAGAAGAATTCAATTGGTTCTCACATATGTGGAAGCATCAGCAACCCCACCTATATGATAACTTAACACTACTTATGTCTGAAATGCATTTAAATTATGCTTTCGCTAAAGAACATAACATACCAACAGATTCTGGCTATTCGATATCGCCCCATCATTCTGGTGTTTACCCAGCACATGAAATACTTTATGTTGCGTGGAAAAAAGTGTGGAATGTCAAAGTAACTTCTACAGAAGAATATCCTCATTTGCGACCTGCAAGACTGAGACGCGGTTTTATACACCGTAATATAATGGTGCTACCACGACAAACTTGTGGTTTATTTACGCACACTATGTACATTGATCGTTATCCTGGTGGACGTGATAAACTAGATGAATCAATACAGGGTGGTGAACTCTTCCAAACAATTGTGTATAATCCCATAAATATATTCATGACGCACATGTCTAATTACGGCTCCGATCGTTTAGCTTTATATACATTTCAATCGGTTATTAAGTTCCTGCAATGTTGGACGAATTTAAAACTAGCATCTGCGCCACCAATACAGCTAGCAGAGACATATTTTCGTTTACATCCAGAAGAAGTTGATCCTGTTTGGGGAAATCCATGCGATGATATACGACACAAAAAAATATGGTCGAAAACAAAAAGTTGCGATTCATTGCCGAAATTTTTGGTAATCGGCCCGCAAAAGACTGGCACAACTGCACTTTACACATTCCTGTCTATGCACTCTAGCATCGCTAGTAATGTACCTAGTCCTGACACGTTTGAAGAGATACAATTCTTTAATGGTAATAACTACTATCGTGGCTTAGATTGGTATATGGACTTTTTCCCCATAGAATCAAATACAACTACGCGATACATGTTCGAGAAAAGTGCCACTTATTTTGATGGTGAAATGGTGCCCAAACGTGCACATGCACTATTGCCGCACGTTAAAATAGTAACGATATTAATTTCTCCTGCAAAACGTGCTTACTCATGGTATCAGCACCAGCGCGCACATGGTGACATTATAGCGAATAATTACAGCTTTTATCAGGTGAGTTAGAAACTTTTAAATTTAATTTGTTATAAAAATTTTTTTTTTTAAAAAATAATAGTATTAAAGTAATATAGAAAAAAATGTTGAAGATTTTTATGTCATTTAATTTATAAAGTTATTTGAACTTAGGATCTATATTTGGAATTGTACCTTGTGTAATTCTTTGCATTACTTCAACTGGATTTATTCTCTTATTTAGTTTCTTACAATTGTTCAAATAATGGTTGTCGTAACTTAGGTTTGTAGGTTTATACCTATAGAACAAGTACTAACTTTTGCACCTTTTTAATCAACTATTTAACACGTAGGCGCTTTGCTATAAATTATATGGGAAATATATATTTAATAATAGATTTTGTCACAAAAAAAAATTAAATTAATTTTTGGGAAGAATTCTGTCTAAGATTTTAAATAAATATGCATTTTTATAATAACTAACTTCCATTAAATTTGCGATAGCATTCATTCAACAACAATTAAGCTTACTCTCATAAGAAAAGACATTCTAAAGAAGTTAGCTACCAAAATGAGTAGGAATTAAACTAAAAAGCAAAAAAAAATTACTTATATGAGGAGAACTGATACACTCTTTTGACTATATAGAGCTTTCTAAGTGAAACAAGTTCTTTTATTATACGACTACACGATATTGTTAGTAGGTCTCATACCAAAAATACAATGTGTTCAATAACAACACATAAATGGATGTTGTAGAATGCTGTAGACCCTTAGCTATGTTGTTAAGTATCAAATTCACATGTGCTCATTTGTAGGTATTGCACGATATCAAAATATGACTTGATTTAAATAAATTTAAAATGTACTCAGTGCTAAGGAAGCCTCAGCGAATAGTATTCCAAGAACAATTATGGGCAGCTAATAGAACCTACTATGCACATTTCAAGCTTCTATAGTCCAAAATTATGACATTGACATAAAATTGCACTAACAAAAATCTACTTAGTCCCATATTATCAATTTATATAACGTTTGAACACTGAAAGCGCTATTTCGAAACTGGTATCTGTAGTTTATAATTTGAAATGTCATCCACCAAGCACTAGGTTTCTCGGACATGTCCTTATGTTATTTTTTTTGTATACGCGATATATCCAAACAAGAAAATTCATTGAAGAGAACTAAAAATATATGGAGGATCATTCGCTGGCAGAGGTGTATTGTATTCTATCAGCGAGCAACACTTTTACTTTAATAAGTTCGGGTGTTTACAGTCAAAGAATGTATATGACCGACAGAAATCTATAACCTTATAGAACACATAGCTTTTTGAATCCGCTACAATAATAAGACAGTCAGTATAAAAAAAAATTATAATGTAAAACAAATCCCATCGCTTAAGAGTTTGAATCACTTAGTAAGTATTGTATGAGTGTCTGTTGATATCGCAGCGAAACGAGCATTGGAGCATTTAAAAGCATCGTCTGGGAAACGAATGTAACGGATATAGAGCGAACGATAGTAATGGTTAAAGATACATTATTTTACTAATTCATAATATAACATTTATACTTCGAATCAAATTTCAATTAATTTTGGAAGAAATTCAAAACATATAAGCAATATTTTTTTAGTTTGAAATTACCATAGTTGCTTTAAGCTACACTACATGTTTATGGGAGCATTGAGACTGTCCGGATTATTTTTTATATAATTTTAAAAGTTTAGTTCATAAATTAATAAGGTATTTTATAAGTTCATTTATATATTTTAAATGTCACAGTTGACTTTGTAAGTCATTTAAAATATGTTATTCTTCTTAACTTATATTTATTTATTTGAAATTGTTCTAGTTATTTTAAAATACACCACATATTTATATTATAAATTTATGATATAACATGTTACATCTTTCTTACACAAAATCTGTCATCAGAAGATTTTATTTTACTTCAAACTTTCTAAGGAGCCACAAAAGCTTCCTTACACAAATACCACAAATGCAACTTAATTAAGAGCAAAAACTATTTAATTTTCCATAAATGAATTAAATGACCACAACTCAGTAATTTTGAAATAAAATTTGCCATGAGTTCGTTTATCAAATGGCAGCGTTACAAGGATCTACTAGTAGTGACCTCAAGAGAATATGTGCAGCATCTCTTTGTGCAATTTCGTTAACTAAAACCAGCCACATGTGTGCTTTCATATATGAACTTACATTTCCTGGCTGTTGCCGCAGTGTAACCGCCTATAAAGCTCAGTATGAGTCCATATTGAAACGCACTCATGCAACATAATCCTCTTGACTGGTTTTTCACCTGATAACTTTCGATTAAATTTTGAGTGTAATATTGTTTGATTTGTATATAAATTGATAGAACATGGCACGGACATTTCGTTTAATGTATTATCTCAGCCCATACAAATATATAAACATTGAATATATATACTTTATATATATATATATCTATCTACGTACCTTGATTGCTTTTCCCATAATTACTGCTCGTCAGTTACTGCCACTGGTTCGGTCATTGTTTGTATATTTTAATCGTACTGATTCACACATTTACTTCTTTTATGTTTTCCAAACTGTTTTCTAACACTACACACACTCAGTTCATTTAAATTCTAGCATTTATTCGTATTCTTCCCGAATTATGCCGAAATACAGATTTAGATAGAAAACTAGTAAAGCAGTTTTATTATTCTCGTATTTTACAAAATGCATTGTCATTTTTAAATTGCAAAAATGTCAATAGATGTTTCTGGCATTTGTATGCTTAACAGGACTCTTACTTATCCTCTCAATTTAAATTTTTATTAGTTGTTATTTCTTCGGCACATGCATATGGTATGCAATGCGATATACTATGGCTTATACTTTTAATTTCAACATTTCTTTACTCCCCATGGTGTTAATAATAATTTAATATATTCATGAAAATAATTGAAAAATTGATTTATTTTACAATATTTGCATTTCTGCAATGTGGTATCAATATGAAATGCTATATATCATTGCAATGCAAATACGAACACTTAAAAAATTTTAATAAATTTTTCATTCGTTGTTCGGTTTGCCAGTTATTGTAATTAAAATTCATAATTTCTCATAAATTTATGTTTTATTGTTTAGGCTGTGAAATCAATTTTACAGTGAATAATTTTCAATATTTATTAACAATTTTTTTAAAGTTAATCAAAGTAAAAAACCCATTTTATAAAATAAAAACTCAATAAAAGGTTTGGGGGGTGATCAGAGGTGAACCAACACTTATTTATTTAGCACAGGATTATAAATTCATAGCTACTGCAATTCGTCGACGTATTTTGAAAGAATTTATCATTCCTTCCATTATTTTCTCCAACATTTTACGTTACGTTAAGTGTCTATATTATTTGGTTCTCATGATATCAACCTTTTAATATTTTTTATGTTATAACGTCCTAAGAAAATCAATTTAAATCTCCCCAAAAAAAGGAATAATTTTTTGGAGTGACGCATTTAGTATCCATATAACATTTATGAGAGTTGAAGTATATTATGGAAATCAATCGGCATAGAAAACTTATGACTTATGACTCATTGTCGGTAAATAAACAGGAAACTACTTTGATTACCAGTGGATATTATAGTTATATTATTAAATTGGATATTATATATTGCGCTCTAAAAGTTCCGTTTTTCATTGACTACACTAACAGCAATCTAAACCAGTTATTATTTATCGTTGTTTGTGAAATTTATTTAAAGACATTATATATTAGTTGCCACTAGATGCCATTACTAGGTTTTACTTATGTAAATAATATATAAATATACAACTTTAAGTTCCGATATCCTGAGAATCAAGCTATATCGACATATAGATAAATTAAAAAACCTTTTGCTTAAGTTCGTCTTCTTAGACTGCTCTTATTATTCTTTTTAATTCTTAATTGTAGTCAACGGAATTGTCGAAAATGATGATGAAAATCTCTTTATTCAGTAGAACTCAGTGAACAAAGCATTCTCTCGAAAACTGCCAACTACCCGAGTTGTATTTATGAGGTAGTCATATGATATGTGTTGCACTGAGGTGCTACATATGACTATATAGCATAGTTTCTTCACATGGAAGTTCCTCTCCATGGCGAACGATTTTTCTGGTGAAATATTTGCTTCAAAAGAAGAGGCTTCTGAAATTCGACTGTCTCAATTTTTTTGTTAATAAAGACGAAGACTTATATGACAGAGATATAATGAAGTTATTTTCAAAAGACAAAGAGTTATTGAACAAAACGTCGCATATTTAAACTTAATCGAATCGTTCTAACTATATTAAATCAGCCTTCAATTTTATGTAAAAATAATGTATTTCTTTTCACTTTGCCGAAATTCTTTGTTAAATAGCAATGTCTTGAAAAAAAATTATTCCTCTTTATTTAGTCATAGTAATTCCTAATTTTTATTCTAATATCTTAAGTTTTTATTATGCTATCTAAGAATAGAAACTAAATAATTCGTAATTAGTGATTTTTAGTGTTGTAGAAATAGATCACAAAATATTTTTTACGATGCTGTCATTGTAAAACAGGTGTAAAGATCCTGGCCGATTATGCATTCGTACCACTGCCTTAAAAACAATAATAGAATGTCATATTCAGGTACTATTTAGTTAGCTTCCTATCTTTGAATAATTACTAAAGTCAATATTAGAGTGAGGTTTTTTTTAATAAAATTTATTCGTTGGAGTAGGAGCCTTATGTACCAAAACTTACATGAGTATAAATAATGGCCCATTGTGATACAATAGATGAGATACTATCAATATCGCTGACCTAAAGAACTACACTATAGACAGAAGTCCGCAAGATCTAGCATTCCTTTGAGAAGATGCGACACTGCGATTCAAGTAGAAGAAAACCAACCTGTCAAGTCTATACGCTAAGTATTGTTCCAAATTTTGACGGATCATAGCTCTTTTAGATTAATTAGAATAAACATCCCAAATAATTCGAGTTTTCTTCTAGACTATAATAAGCACTGATATATGAGGAGAGTATACTTTCCTCCTCTGGAAAAATTGTTAAGCGACTTACCAAATCTTACTGTTCTCAAGTTAGCACTAGGTAGGCTTCGTTTCAGTTGAAGTAATTTACTGATAAATCTTGTTCAACAAAGTCACTCCAATTTAAATGTAGTTCAAAATATTAACCAAATGGTACCTTAACTCGAAATTTCATTACCGCTTTCACAACCGCCCATAGTCATCAGGACTACTTAGCAATGAAAATCGAAACGACAATGTTGCAGAAAATAAAAGAATATTTGCTGAAGTATATACCATAAGTTTAATTTTCTTCAATTCTTTCAAATGTGGCTGAATTTTTCTTTGCATTTATACTTTATACAAAAATATATATTGCATACATTTTCCTTCCTCTTTTTTTAAGGTCTCGTTTTAGTGAATATAGTCACATTTTTCAAATATGGTAATTTTGTGCGTAGTAGGTGGGTAGTCAGGAACATCTTAAAATCAGTAATAACAACTGATATAAGGGCAAGAAAAAAATTCTATTATCTATTTGACGAAAGAAACTAAATTCTTAATAGAAACTATTGTTTTCAATAGAGTGATTTTTATCAAACAGTCGTAAAATTGCAACAACAAAATCTTTTACTATTTTTAATTAATCGATATATCGATTTACAAATAAATTTGGCAAATTATTATAGTAAATTTTGCATAGAATAAAAATCTAAACTAGAGCCGTCAATAATTGTGTCAAAAATTTAAATTCCATATCTCTTAATGGAACATGAAAACCATTTCGTATGCTATCGTAATAATTCCTTTTATAGCATAATGTTATGTTGAGACACCAGGCGATGCATTTATGAGCAATATTTGTACTTTAAAAATTATACGAAGCACTCTAATGGATTTTTATCGTATACTCTTTTCTTTAATTCATTTATCAAATGGATATCTTTTATAATATTCAACTGTAGCATAGTTCATATAACATATGAATATGAATAACTTAAACTCTGTTTTTTTAACCATTAAACAATATAAAATGGATTTCCATAAAAATTTTAAATGTTAACACTTAACTTTATATTCATATACAGACAGCTTCTATTTGTTTTTGAACATATACTATTCCCCTTTCTTCTTTGCAGATTATCACAGCAACGGATTCAGCACCGAAAGCTCTAAAGGATTTGCGTAATCGTTGCCTTAATCCCGGTAAATATGCACAACACCTGGAACATTGGCTTGCTTATTATCCCGCCCAGCAGTTGCACATTATTGATGGTGAACAATTACGCTCAAATCCAGTGGATGTGATGAATGATTTGCAACGTTTCCTAAAAATTCAACCGGCATTCGATTATTCGAACCATTTGCGTTTCGATATTAAAAAGGGTTTTTACTGCCAAATTGTGAATGAGAAACGTAATAAGTGCCTAGGCAAATCCAAAGGACGTCAATATCCACCAATGGATGAACGTAGTGCAAAATTATTACAACGGTAAGGCAGCTCAGTGATTTTTGAATACAGTTTTCTTTTGTTTATGTGGTTTCTTGCTTAGAAGGTTTTTTTTTGTGGTTTTACTTTGTATCTTTTTTTCCTTTGTACACAATACATCGTAAATCCATTAAAGACCATTTGGAATTTTACTTCCATTTTTGTAGATTTTTTTCAAACTAGGTTGATTTTGCAATTCGCTTACGCATATCTTAAATTTTGGTTAAGATATCTTAACTGAATTCAAGTTATAAAGCGTGCTCGTTTAAAAATTGTAGAACTAATTTTTATTGCCAGTGTTTACTAGAATTCATCTATATTTTATAATTCTCGCTGTTTAAGCAATTAGTTAGTTCTATATTGAGTAATTTAACTTTTCTACATTACTCTATCTTATTACTTAATATTTGAAGATATACGATTACAGCTTAAAAGACAATCGTTAAGAAGTGAAACTAAAAATTTTGATTAAAATGGGATTCATAAAATTAACTCTTATAAATAAATTAACTCTTATAATAGTTATATTTTTTATTTTAATGGAGGAGTTCTCAACCGTTGGTTATTTTTGGAGAAATTAAACAAAGAAATATATTCAGTGTTTTACCAGTATTTTTAAGACTTATTAAATATTTTTCCGACCCGTAATACGTTTTGGTTTAAAAAGTGCTGTTCAACTGCACTTGTTAAATACTAAGTTAAAATCTTATAATTGTATTCATTGTAATAGCTAAATATCGTTATTAACTCGTCTTCAGTTAGATATAGTCTTCCAGAAAACTCTTTTAATACTGAACACCTATTTAAGAAGTGAGTAACGTTTTTCTTTTCATCCAAAGTACAATAGTAACATACTATCCAAATCTAAGCCACCTATAATTATTAACACTTAATTTAAGAAAATCAATCCAAGCTTTCATTATTCATGAATCTATAATTGCATTATACTCTAAACCTTTCGCTTTCAGAAAGTTATTCTCTCCACACTTATAATATAGAATCAAAATCATATCAAATAATAAATTTGGTTCGCCCATAAAATATTTTTTCCACGTATATCTTTTGACTAGATACTTTGTAGTCTTACCTTAAATCAAATGAAAAGTGTTTTTTAGACGTATGTTAATTAAAGATCTAATTTATAAGAGTCCATATTCTAGATAGGTTTGTAGGGCGGTTACGTATGTAGAGTTATCATTTTTTTATTATTTTTTTATTAGACCCTTGCAGTCCAAGTATTATATACCGACTATCAAACCAATAGATGTATTCAAAGACCACTGAAAAGGAATCTTTTGCAGTATCTACACTAATAAAAAAAAACAAGTTATTAAAAAATGACATTTTTGAATTTATCAGTTTCCTCTCTTTTATCGACCTTTCTCAGGTCGAATTAGATATCTTGCCGGAGTACGTAAAAATTTTAATTATAAAAATTTTGAAAATAAATTTTTATTTATTTGTTTGTTTTTGATTATTTTTTGAACTATGTAAATTTACAAACATTTTCTCCACACCATCGATAAGTCTACGGTTTAGGGTCATGCTTTAATAGCTTTGTGCGCCCCAATTGATTTCACCTTTAAGCTGTTGTCAGTTTAGTTTAACTGACAATTCTTTGTAGTCACATAAATGTTTCTTTGACTAATTAACTGTAAGTGAAAAACATTAAATTGAATTTATAGGATTTCTTGCTGTAGGTGTTAACCTTTTATAACGTCTATTTCACTTTTTGTTACACTTTTTTCGCTCTGTATTGACTTCTCCTACACAATTTACACTTTTTCGTATTTGTTTATTTAAATTTTATTCACTTTTAATAATAAAATTATTTCAATTTAATGTTTTCTCTTTACGATTTTCGCAGATACTATCTTAGTCACAATACAGCGTTAGTAAAATTGCTGAAGAAACTTGGTTCTCGTCCCATACCCCAATGGCTTAAAGATGATTTATCGACGGGTACGTGATAGCTGGTGAAGCATCGAAGACTGCGTGCAAAACTACGTAAGCACTTGCAATTGGTCTTCGCCAGTTTGGAGCATACAAATGAGCTTCAAAATTCTAATGAACCGAAAAATAAGCAATATCGACATCACAAACATAACAGTTGGACGCACATGTAGCAGGAATTATAAATAAAAAAAATACTAATTTATAATTAAGAGAGCAAATTAATATTTTAATAAAACAAAAATAACACGAATAGCTTTAAGGGTGTAAAAAAGAAAATTTCTGAATAAGTCAATATTAGTTTAAGTTTAAATATAAAAAATGTTAATTAAAAAATAAATTTAGCATAGCAAGAAATAAATGCATTAATTAAATAATATTACCATTAAAAAAAAAACTATGCAGATAAATGTGAAAAGAATTAGCTTAATTGTTGCTTAAATGTTGTATATAGCTATTGTAGTTTAAATGTATATTAAAAAATATTCTTAGTATGTATGAGTATATGTCTATGTCTAAACATAAACAAAATGCATATAAACAAATGTAATTCTGTTCCGTTATGTATATAGAAATATTGTACTTTTTCCAATTTCCTCTAGCCTTACAGTGTGTTATTCAGCCATACCAATTACAAACCTAATTAAGTCAATAATTTTCTGAGTATATTATGCACAATAATTATACATGTATATGTATTCGACAGTATGTATGTTTGTTAAAATAATTATTAAAATTAGTATGTATTGAGGTCAAATGAAAAAATTGGTTGCTCTAGGATTTGGTTAAAAATTATGTCACAGTGTAATTATTTTTTATATTATAAAGCCATAATATGCTTATGGGTACATTTAAATTTAATTTATTAACTCATAATTTTAATTTTATCTTTTTCTTTGTATATTTTTATTTACATTTTTTTAATATTAATAATTTAATAATATTTTTTGTTTTTATTTCAATTTTCTATATATTCTATATTTCTATATATATATTGATTTTTTATATTGGTTTTGTAGATTATTTTTATTATATTTTTTTTTAATTCATTTATTAAATTAATTTAATTAGTATTTTTATAAATATTGGTATAGAAGATATAAGATTTTTTTTTAAATATGAATATTAAAATCAAAAAAAAAATATTGTAATTTTTATCTTTTAGAATTTAATAAAAAAATGACCTTAAACCCGAAAAAAAAGCAAATACTTTAAAAATATCTATCGAAATTAATTATCCGTATATAATTTTGAGATTGCAAGTATCAAGCTAAAAAATATTTCCAAATACCACTGTTAATGAGTATTTAGCCAGCTGTATGGACAGTCAAAAAATTAAATAAATTAATTAAAATAAAATTTTATTTTAATTAATTACTATTTATACTTTTTAAAATTTAAAATAATTTCGTCGTCACATTTGACTTAAAATAACTTTTAAAAATAATTTATAAATTCATCTCTTCTATATATTTTTGTTTTATATTTCAGTTTCTTATTGATCTTATTTATTTTTAAACTAAATAGACAATTTTAATTTCTTCTATTATTTATATTTTAATGAAATAAGCACTTAGTGCAACCTTTGAAATTCTCAAATTATTAATTAATATTTTTTTTTTAAATATCAACTCAATTTTTTCAATATACTAAAAATATACATATTAATATACAAAAATTGAAATTACGTTTAATATAAAAATATTATATATTCTTTATTATAAACTGTTTTTTTTTTCTCTTTGTTATAATAATGGCGTTTAACAAATTTATATTGATTATTCTTATTTTAGTATTTTTTTATTAATTTAATTATAATTCAGTTACATATCAAATATATTTTATATTATTTTATTGGCCTTGAAAGCAATTTGTTGTTGCTTTATTTTTGTTAACTATATTTAATTTATAAACATCACGAAATCTTATGTTTTTTAAAATATATACAATATATTTAATTTTTAATATAACAAAATCATATCAATGCAAGCTGAAGTTTTATACATACAAATTTATTATTAGTGAACTAGTCTGCATATAGCAGACTTGTATTATAAATTTATTTTATTTTATTAGCTTTTACATCACTACTATTGTGTATATTTTTAAATTTAAATAAATTTATAAGTTTACATTTAATTAAATTAAAATATGCAGACAAAATTTTGAGTACCATTAATTGTTATGAATTAATATTATGAACTTAAGTTTAAATACATAAATCTGTAGTTGAAGCGTAGCAATATTTAAATAACGAATTGAAATTAACAAACATACATACTTAATGTAATAACAGCAATAAGATATATTAAAAATTTGAAGTATTTTTTATATTTCAAAAATGTTTATTTTATCCGTTAATGGAATAAAGAATATTGAAAATATTTTTAATTTAGAAATAATAAATAAATATTGAAAATTTTAAATATATTTATTCTTTATTTCACATGATAATGGAACAAAGAATATTAAAAATACGTTTATATAAATAAGAAATATATTTGAGAGCATTTCAAATTTAAATATATAAATATATATGCATGTATTGTATTTTTGAGCATTTCATTCTGCATTTAATTCTTAATTTATATAAGTTGTTTAAACAGTTTATATTAATTGAATAATATTCATACTAAAATTCAGAAAATTTAAAACTAATCTATTATAAATAAAGTTTTTTAATATCTACTAGATATTTAAGACAAATTGCTTAATTAGCGAATAACGCATTTTTGCTGCTATTGTTTTTATTTGTATCAAAAGCTTTCCATTGTCATTTTAACTTTAATGCATATTTGCCAATACCTTTTAAGCATTAAATATTTTTTAAAAATATTGAGTATCATAAAAAGCAGTTTATTCAATATATAAATTTAATATATCATAATGTTCACTTTTATTAAAATGTATTAATTAGAAAACAAAATCATACATAAAAATTAGTAATTCAAAAATTATAAATATATGGTATGAACTACATATCTCTTATCTAAAACGTATTCAAAATTGGTAATTTAAATAATTTAAACAAATTTATTGGTAGGTGAAGTATAAGAACTATACTCGAAACTTCCTCAATTAGCTACAAAAAATTTTAGATTACAAATTTCTTTTTTGGAGAGAATGTTAAATATTTCAAATCCAGATTGAAGCATTAATGAATGTGGAGTGAGCTGAAGAATCTTATGTCTTTTTCTCAAATTTAACTCTGGATTAGCTTGAATATAACAGATATTCCTGTGTTATTTCGTGGAGTGTCGTTGAATATGATCTACAGGTGTTATAGGGAAATTTTTAAAAATATACTAATTTTTATTATTGAATTATAATTCAATTAATAATAAAATAAATAGCATTATGCTCCATCAAAATTATGTTCCAATAGAACTGCAATAGAACTTAAATTTAATTTTGATATTATATCTTAAATCTTATATTCGTTCTCAAAGTGTGACATTAAAGACAGTTGAGTTGCTTCAACTTAAAATTTTCATTGGTGCATAATCCTTTCGAAAGAGGATTAAAAAGTCGTGATGTTATTAATTCACAGACATTACCGATTTGCAAAATTTAGTCGGATTATGTATTTTTGAATATTACAACAAAGAATTTGAAATCAATAAACTTTTTTAAATATTTGTACTATCTACTTAACATCAAACAATTAACAATTATTAAAAAAAAACGCTTTAGATATCAGCTTGAGTTTTATATTAAATTTATATATATATTAACTGCTTTTTATATGTATAAAGTAGATTGAAATACTAAAGGATAGTTTAGAAATAAAGAAAAAATTTATTTATAATATTATAATATTTTTATACCTCAAATCCGCATTGTACAATATTATCTTAATACTTTATATGTGTGCTGAAATTAATTATAATGTCTAAACCTTAATGTCAGAAAAAAAAAAGAATTTTTAATAGTAAATATTAATGTTAAGTCATAAAAAATTTTTACTCCCATTTTTTTGTCTATGCTAAATTAAAAATTATGTGGCTTTATTACTCTTTTCCTTTTAACAATTGTACAAAGTTAACAGAAGTTTGAAAAGCTAATTGTATAAAGTTTATTATTAAAATTATTATTAAAGCTAATGTGTCTAGAAGATTAAACAAATTATGAAAATTAAAAATAAAAACAAACATTTTAGAAAAAGAAACATATTCATAAAGAGACAATAAAATAAAAAAAATATCGATAATTAGAATGAGCGTCTGTTTTACTTTTTAGTGTACATTAGGTAGTCAGTATAATAGATCTTCTATTGTAGCGGTGTTCTGCTTGAACAGTTCTTTTTTTTTTTTTGAATGTTTTTCTTCACAATGTTCTTTGCTTTTACTTTACCCGATTCTTTCTTTTTTCCTTTCTCTTTCTCTACTTTGTTTTTATTCCCGATATTGTACATACATATATTCCTCTAGTTTTAGTCTGCATTGTTCTAATATCGATCCAGAGTCTTTTACATTAAAAAGCTATTTCAGCGATTTATGATCGGTTCTGATTAAAAATTTCTTACCATAGAAATATAGTCTAAATACTTCTACGGCTCAAACAATGGTCAAATATTATTTTTGTAGTGCTATAATTTTGCTCTGCATTATTTAAACTCATATTAATAAACGGAGTTGGCATATCTCCACGGCCACTCTCTTGTGATAGCTCTGCATTTAGACTTTTATTCGAAGCATCTGTTGTAACGATGAAATTATTTGCAAAATCTTGAAAGTGCAAACTTACTACATTGACTAAACTATCTTTCAGTTTCTCAAATGCTTTGTCCTAGTCGTACCGATTAAACTATCAATTAAATTTAACTCAACTTCTTTTCTAAGAAGTTAATTAATAGGTGCTGCTATTTTGCTAAAATCTTTATTAAATCTTTTATAATAGTTGATCGCTACCATGAATGAGTGTATTTCTTTAATACTTTTCAATGGAGATTATCGCCGAGACTTCATCTCGATTAAGTTGAAGACCTCGCCTTCTAACACAATAACCCAAATATGCAACATCTTTCCTTAGAGATTCACATTTAGCTGCTTATAGCTTAATATCAACTTTCCTTAGTTGCTCGAAAACATCCCTTAGTTTTTCATTATGATCTGTTAAGTCATTAACGTACATCACAATATCATTCACGTATACATTTAACATTCCTTTTACATTCATTTAGTTCCTTGTACAGGGCAATTTTGACCCTGTTACTTAAAAGTCTTTCGAAAGATGTTTGAAAGATAGAAAAAAACGCAGTTTGAGAGATTTTCTCTCGCAAAAGTCTTTCAAAAAAAGTTTTATCTTTTTTAATTATATATGTATAAATAACTATATTAAATATACATTTTGCAGCTTTTCATTACTTTTGTATTCAAGTTAAATGGTTTCAGTTGGATGCGGTACCGATTAACAATTTTTCTGGATTTCCCCACGAAACCAAAAGCACAAATTAGCTTTTAACCACGAATTACAAATGATGAAACTTTTTTTTGAAAAATTTTTGCGTCAGAATAGCTAAAATCTCTCAAACTGTCTTTCGTTCTAACTTTCAAATATCTTTTGAAAGGCTTTTAAGTATTTTTATTATTGCACAGTTAATTCAGTTATTTTTAGTACGCACTCGTACTTTCTGCCCCCACTTTTTTTTTATAAAGATGTTTTTGATTGATGCACAAGTGTTTCAAAAGTTTTGTCAAAAGAACTTTTTTGCCGGCACTTAGTGAATCCTTATTATTTCTAGAGGCTAGAAAATGACACAAGGAAATGGTTCATGAACTCATCATTTTGTATATTCCTGCATTTCTGAATATTTGTTAGTCCTTATTACCTTATAATATAACCCAAAAGGTTTTAGCAAAAACTGATTCCCAATACTTCTGGCAGCTAAAATAATATGTTTTTCCAATAAGCTTTTTTTTAAAACAAGCTTTTTGAAATAAGCTTTTTATGCAAGCTTAGAATTAAGAATTTTATACTTAATAAGATTAAGCTCAAACATATGGCAAATTTGTTGAAAGTTTTAAGTTACATTATTTAAAATTTTACAAAACAAAATTTTTTAAAAAATATAATATTTTAAAAATTTTAATAAAACACCATAAATAATATTATAAATATATTTTTTTATTTAAATTTGGTTTGAATATATTTTTGACATATGGGTATTGCAAACTTTCAAATAAGCACATGTCAAAATGTTTAATACGCTACGTTGTTGTAAGCTTTTTGAATTAAATTTGTGTATTTCTTGTGTCAACAGAACAGAAGAAGACACAAGAAGAAGAACACCCCAAATGAAGTAAAGAAATGTGGAAAAACTAGTATGTCTTGGACTTTAATGCGTTGCGGTAGTATTTCGTGCGGTAAAATGTGGTACAAGTGTTAGAAAAAAGTGCGTCGCAACGCGCAACGCGGCTGCCGTTTATATTACTAACAAATGTGCAAAAATTTATATGTGTGAAAAAGGAATAAAAAAATAATAATTGTTATAAATTTATTCGTTGTTAATTGTGCAATAAACTTGGCTTATAAATATTTTAAATATGTTTTTGTGATGATTTAAAAAAAAAAAATTTCAGTGCTTTTATGAAAAGTAAAAAATAAAATAAAATTTCCTTCAGCAATTTGGGCAAAAAAAAGCGGGTAGAGTTTTTAGGTGTGGTACAAACGTTGTAAGTGAGGGGAGTAGTAACATGGCGCCCGGCGTATGTGTAACAAGTTTCCGTATGCTTCTAAGGCATAAAGCAAGTTTTGTCCGTTCGGGACGCACAATACCCTTGGCTTGGAATCCATTTCGAGGAACCATCACAGTGGTAAGCTAAAATATTAATGTTACTTAAATTAAAAAAAAATAAATTGGGTTTTAATAAATGTTAATTTATTAAAAACGTGTCTCCAAAGCTGCTGAAAAAAAACAAAATAAATTCACTAAACTTATAAATCAAAAACCAAAAAAAAAATGTGATACACAACAGCTCTTGCTTTACAAACTAAAATCCAAATGTGCCAAAAATACAAAAAAAAAACTTAAAAAACTTTGCAATTTATGTGTCTGTTTTTAAAACATATCAAAAAAAAATTTAAAAATTAAATTCTTAAAAAATGTGATAAAAAGATTCTGCCAAAGGCGTACCCATAACGGATTTTTATGTTATTCAGACAACATAAAAAGAATATGCAGAACTAAGAACAAGACGTAAACTTTTTACTTTATTTTCCTTTTGTTTATTATCAACATTTTCTTTTGATAATTTTCTTTTCCGTTGAACTTGAACACATTTTCCGATGAAATACCTATAGCAGCTCCCCTACCACGCAGCCTCCTGCAACACACAATTAACTTGTTTTTATTTTTGAAGTTAACAGAAATAAATGTCAAACGCGAAGAGAGCAACAACCACAAAAATATTCTCTCTCATTTTATTGTTGTTGATTTCGCTGCTTGTTTTTTATATGCCGGTCGGTGGGTATATTTTTGTTATTTATACATTCTTCATTATTCATTGATATTGAATGTATGAACAATTTTGTCACCCTCCTACGGCTTTGCATGTTACCTCTTTCAGTTTTAGGAGTTCACATCGCTACGCAACAGAGTTTATTTTCACATTACGTAGCTGCGGCTTATCCAAGTTCTAGTCAGTGACGACGACAAGTCAGTTTGAAAATAAACATGAAAAAAATTAAAAATTCGATAGCCACAATTGTTGTTGTTTGGTAAATAATTTTGATTGGATTTGTTCAATTATTTGCGGCTGTGGACAATTATTTGCATTTCGGTCAGTTGAATTAGATGAAAATAATTTTAAATGAAAATACAAAAAAAAATGGAATATATATTTTTTTTTGCTGATACTGTCAAACTTCCATAACTCGAAGTACTATTTTGCAAAGAAAAGATTCGACTTCGAGTTAGAGAATTTATATATTTTTTTTTAATTTTTGGAAGAATCTAGAATTATATTTTAAGTTACATATTTATTAACTTGAAATCAAATATTGTACAGAAGTTATAGTGAAGTGAAACATTTAGAAATTAGGTTTTGGGATTTCAATTTCTTTTTCTTATTTTCAATAAAACAGATTCCAATTTATTCCAAGCCTTTTAGTGATAATCAGTTGGAGAATCATTCCTTTGTAATTAAAAATTCTTCTGCTATATGAGACTTCTACTTCATTCTTATAAGGCTGCTGAACAATTTCATCCACCGAACCCTCATCATCACTTTCCGTTGCACTTAGAATCGGATCCACTATAATGAGATATATAGAGAGTTATAATGCTCAATAATATCGTCATCTGTAAGAAAGCTTGATGTACAAATTTCTTTCACAAGCACAATATAGTCGTTTTGAGTAGCATTGGAAATTATTTAATTTACATTAAACCACGTTTAATAATTCTGTTCCATAAATGCACGGTCTTCATTAATATTGTTTAAGAAAACTAAAGGAATGTCTTCCTGTTCGTCCCATGTGGAAAATTGGTCAAATCCAGCATTTCTAGAGCAATGCGCTATCGTTTGACTACTCACATCAATATCTCAAGCTTATGTTAGATGATTTATGCAATCTATAAGTGTAATATCCTGCTTTTAGTTTATTTCTATACGCTTTAGAACTTTTTTTACGATTCTGTTGCGATAGTTACACTTTAAATTTTGAAGTACTTCCTGATCAAGTGGCCTATGGGTTCGTTGGATAGTGATTCGGTTTTCTACAGAAATTCAATAATATATTTATTTCTAATTCGAGTGCTAACTGTAACACAATATAAAATTTTTATTTTTAAGAATTTTGCAAGCTAATATCGATAACTAGCTTCTAAGAGTAAATTAAGATTTTCTGCTTTTTCTGAAGGCTGTCCTTATGTACAGTGAATGAGTCCTTTGTCATCTGTTTGAGAGCGACCAAAGATCGTCAATTAGGACTCCAACTTTTTGCGGGTTTTGATTCTACTAAAACCATCTCTTAAAAATGAATAGGAAAAATTTTCACCAACATGGAACTTATTACAGTAATTAAGGGAGTGAATTAAGATAAAACAGCATATAGATATTAGGTTTGGTTTGGAGAGAAGGAAATTAGGTGAAGAGTTATTGTGTAAGTGCTAAGGGTAGGCTAATTGTATGGACGGAGTGATGAAAGCATTCGAATGCCTCTCATCGAAATTAGAATGTCAATAAAACATTTATGTTTTTCATTTGAAATATAATATTGTGCAGTAACATGAAATGGAATAAATGGCTACATAATATAGTCGTTTTCAGAAAAAGTTTCATTTGATGATTATCACCATTTTTAAATTATATATTTTGTATAAGTACCGCTGACTGATTTCTGATCTATGCATTTATAAACTGATCTGATAATAATTATTTATTAACCGTATGTAAAAACTAACTACCTTTTAGTTATAAGACCATTCTTTAAGATACCTATATTCAGTTGATTATTTTAACCAATTAGCTTCCGAAATAAATTCAGATAGAGTTGAATGTAAAATACCCCATTAAATAATAGACCCTTCCGAAAAATAGATCACTTCCGCTTACCAGCGCGTAGAACCGAAAGATAGCCAAGATTAAATTTCAACTACTGTCCAAATTTTAGTATATATGGAATATTAGATTTATATAGTATGAAACAATTTGTTATCATCTATTCCAAAAATTTTTTAATTGAAATAACCAAACTTTAATGTTTTTAAAGTAACCAATAAACGGGACCGTTTAGCCTAAAATTAATCACAAAATAATGCTTAAAACACATTTAATTTAACAATAAAAATAATAAGTTTTGTCAATTTATCTTACAGAAATTAGTATAAGAAAAACACATTTTTTAATTTATTATTTTTAAAAATAATGCTACATAAATATACAAAAGTGATTTATTTGAATTTTTGGTAGCATTGAACATATTTATGTTTATATAAGTTACAACATTCTACACATAACTTGAGTAGATTAACAATACGGTTAATACACAATATAGACATATTATATACGTAGTTCCTAGACTTCTGTAATCTTCTAAAATTGAGATAAAATTTATATGTAAATGGAAATTTGATTTAATGAAAAGTTAAAAAATTATATTACTTTAATCTAAAAGAAAGTCAAGAAACTTTTTCACAAAAAGATGTGACCGAAAATGTCTGATCAGTACATTCAAATGATTTACTGTTGTGACAAAAAAGCGTAGGAGTCAAATACAACATATTTTTTTGAATAAAAATAAGAGAAATTTTTGCATAAAAATAAAGACAATCCTTCGCATATTTTATAGACCATCGACCATATTTTATAGACCAGTTTTTCAAATGTGAATCGTATATCTTCATTAATATTAAAAACTGTATTATACTTATAGTCGATTGAAAACTAAATTCGACTATTAACAAATTCAAGATCTTGAAACACAATTATTTATATTTGAATCAATATTAATTAGCAGCTATAATTTATTTTTCAATAAAAGTTAGTTAAATTCTATGCTAAAAAGCATTTGTCCGTTTCGACAACTAACGAATGCTTGTGTTGAATCGGACAGATTGACAAAAGGTAATGGTTGGATGGATGAAATGATTCAGAAAACATATTCATATTTATAAAGTTACGTGGTCGTACGTGTATATTTAAATATTATACATAATAAAATGTAATATATTATGAAATATATAATAAAAAAGTAGTATAGCATATAAAAAAACATTTATATTTATGCTTTATTTTATTTTATTGGAAATATGAAATCTCCAGCAATACAAAACTTCACATGAAAAATCCATAATCAGTGAGATTCTTCATGTATTTTTTTTTTTTTTTGTACAATGACATCATTATGAACTTTCGAATGAACTTTGAGTTATTAATTAATATGTTTGAAAGATTTCATTTTATACGCAATGTAAATAATATATTTACTTCATATACTGAAATATTTACTTAAAGATAATTATCTATTCTCAAACTTCATTGTTATATGTAAGTCTTGGCGATGCATAAATTTTGTTTATTTTAAGTATACTTTTTTTCTATTGTATGTTGTATTATTCTAATGAAATATAGATATATATATTTATGTTAATTTTTTATTGTATGTTTAACTATAATTACATTACTTATATGGCGATAAATATTGAAATTTCGGTGCTAATGCCCTTTTGCACAATCTAATATGTCAGACTGTCAGAGAATGAAATAAGCTAAGAAGAAGAGAACAAAATGAAACAATTTTGCTGTTAAATAAATAAATTATTTTTTTTTTTGTCTCAACACAACTTGAATATGAAATTTATTCAATGAAATGCAAGTTAAAGTCTAAATAATAAAATATTCTCAGAGAAACTCAAATTATCGATAAAAACTTTTTGTGAGCTTTTGCTTAATTTTATTATTATTTTTTTTTGTTAAATATTCACATTGTTAAATGTTGCAGATATTCATACATTTTTATAAATATTAATTTATTTTATTTTTTTAATTATTTCAGTTTTTAATTTGTAGTGATCTACTGTTTTTGCTACTTGAATATTTAAAAATAATGTGTGGTTATTTCTAGTTATATATATAATCCACTATTTATATACTTCCAACAGGCATTTGACAATATTAAATACTCTTGGATGGAGTCTACTTTTATAAAATCTGGAACATTAAATATACATAGCAGTCTGGTTAAAATCATGATGAAAATCTAGCTTACTAATGTAATTAGAATACCATTGTGTGTTTAATAGTGCGAAGACCCCTATTCCGCTTGCCTTTTCTCCGTTCAACATAATGTCTTATTGTATTTTAAGTTCCTC